AAAAACCACATGGGTCATCTGACCTTACCTTGGAGTTGCAATGACTGAAGAGCACAGATACTTAAAATTGTGCTATTATCAGCTAAGGGAGGATGGGAAAGAAATAAAACACGAAGACTGTGATTTCTTTAGTGCCAGAGTAGTGCCCAAATGCTCACACTTGTTTGCTTATTCCCTTTGCCATCAGGTGAGCCAAACCAGCTGTTTGTGTGCTCACACTTTAAAGTGGGTCAATGCAATCTCTGTGGTTTAAAGCAACATTCCATAAATACAGTGCCTGATGGGTTGGGAACATTTTAAAGCAAGCTTTCTGCTGGAGAAATTGTGTGGAAAATGCATTTTCTATGTGACTCCATCTCATTTATTTTCTACAACTTCAATTTGGGGAGGGGAGAATTAGAGAGGATAATAGAAAAATAAAACATGATACTACAAGAGTATCTATTTTAAAACTTTTGATTTGCATGTGAACAACTTTGTGCTGATAAGAACTGAATGGTTCTCATGATTTAATGTCCATGTCCAATTTGTTGTCTCTTGCAGGGCTATGGAAAAGCAGATCACTCAGTCACTGTAGAGATACTGAAGAAAGAGTATACAGATTATGAAATTACATGGTCAGATGACAAGAAATAAACTTGTGAACACAATGAGCAGTTCCAACCTGGTAACTGTGAGCTGTACTTTGATAAATAAAATTGAATGTGTGTTCTATGTGTGAAACCATAAATCTGGAGTAACTAGACTCTGCCATAGTTTATAATATGGTTGGTAATCCTCAGAAATATCTTATTTTTTAGATCATTGCTTTGTGCAGAATATGGAGTTCTAATCCTTTTTCCTTTCCTTTTTGATGTGCCCTTTAGTTAAATATTCCCACACCACCTTACCTCTAATTTTTCATCCAGTCCCATTTCACTGATCTGTTGTAGGACACCTAAGGATTTACCATCAACTTCAAACACCACTGGGCCAAGCCTGGTCTTTTGACCACAGTGTTTTCAATTTGTTTTTCTATTACTTTTTAGGCTTCTCATCTTTCTTACCCACATTTTAAAAAAGATTGGTGTGGAGGGTGGGGTTGACTGTTACAGTTCTTCAACGATCCAAATCTTTGATTTCCTCAATGATTTTAAAATCTAGTATTCTGCAGAAGTAATGATCAAAATATTTGATTTTCCTGTAAGAACCTTCCCTATAGCAGACTGGTGGCAATGTAAAAATTCTGCCAATGCTTCTTTCATTCTGATTCCCCTGAACTGCTTTGATTTGTGTGAATTTAAAAATGCTTTTTTCTTTTTATTTTCCTAGCAGTAATTATGTTAAACTGCCTCCTCAGTACACCTAGACAGTGTCTGAATTAGCTAACATCACCCTCTTGTTGTGACAGGATGTTGCCTTTTCTTTGTTGTCTAATTACTTGCTACAATTTTGACTCTGTTTCATGATGCTTTTAATTTAATTCATTTGTGGGTTTATTGACTTGCTGTCTTGGAGGCTTGCTGATTTCCAGAGGTAATTCTGGATGAGGAGATATTCTGGATGAGGAGATATTCTGGATGATATAGTCTTCCCTTTTCTGTGGTTCCTACTGCACTTACCCAGCAGTATCTGGTGGTATAGGGAAGCCTTTCCTTTTCAGCCTGCAAGTGACTCTAGCAGTATAAACCAGGAAATCTGAGACACTTTAGGCCAGTTTCTATTGCCAAAAATCCTGCTGTTACTCCCCTCTGACAATTGTGATCCATCTTAAGTCACCTTTCTGTGCCTTTGTTTCAGTTGTGGAGAGGAATTTTCTGTTCTCATCCTCAAACCTTTCAGTCCAGTCCTCACCAGAAGAGTTCCAGGGTCTCCATCCCAATAATCTCATCAGAGCAGAATCTCCTAAACCTGGTGCTCCAGGTCTCTTGGTTGGCATCAGATTTCCCCCCCTTGCAGCCTGGATTTTCCCCTCCAGCACCCTTGCCTGCTTTCACATCTGCTCTTTGTGCTTCTCGTTGAGTTCCTGTGCAATGGTTATCTGGCTGCACTTCAAATACTGTGGTAATGATGACAGGATTGATTTTACTGAACAAGATTTTGATTTCAGTGCCTAATAACCAAGAATAGCACACAAGTCAGTAACCTGCAAATTGGGCACTTCCCAGTTCCATGATCAAGGGCTTTTTTTCCCCCTAAGCTTTAGTGAAATAACTGTAGCTGCCAGTATACAGACCTGAGTTTTAAATAGCCTCATTTCCCAAAACTGGCAAATAGTCTTCAAATGGAAGTCATCAGTTAGGGATAACTGTGTTAAAACAAACAAGCCTTTCAATTTAGTTTCCTGAGGTATTTAATGACTGATTTTAATCTTTGTCTCCACAATACTTACAGGAAAGACATAACTTACACTGGACTTATTATTGGAATGACGTGTTCAAAACGTGAGGGGAGGAAAAACAGTGATGATTTGGAGTGAGCTGATCAAAACTGAGTTACCAGCTAATCTCTACCTTTTGTTTCTTCATAGAAGAAAGATTTTAATGTGTCATAAAAAAAATAATTAGAGGAACCTCCCCGTTCAGTTATTTTTTTAGTGCAACGTCATTTGGGGCAATTTAATTTCCCTGGTCATTAAGTAATACGTACAAGTGTTACAAAGGAATGAAAAGTTTCTTTTCTTCTATTCCAGTTTGTGAAGAGGAGCAGGACACTGGTTACTAGGGTGGTGAGGATTTCTCAGGTAGAGCAAGCCTTAGTGCAGATGAGGGAAATTAATATTATTTGAAGATTGAAACATCAACAACCTACAAAACTAAGTGTTGAATTCTGTTTCCTCTCAGCATGTACCTGCTGAATTCTAAGAACAGAACTCATCTCAAATATGGAAATCCCAATGCTAATTGTGCTGATTTCACCTGAGAAAAAGCATCTTCCATTTTCTAATCAGATTCTGAAATTGGAAGCTCATTATTCTGTGTGGGGGTTATTTGTTTTGCAGGTGTGCAGTCACTATAACATTGTGGCTCTGCCATTCTTCCCTCATCCTAAAAATTCTGATTCTGTATTTGCACAAAACCAGTTATGTTTGAGCCAAATACTGAGTGAAGGCACAGTAATTAAACCAGAGATAGTGAGTTTGCTAGTGGAATATTATCAACAGGAGATATTATAGAAGATTTTAAGTACCTTCTTCATTTATTCATCCAAAGTTACATGAGATTCTTGTTCCTAACCATATCCTTTGTCATAGAGGTCAACATTTCTTATTACTTCAGGTATGGTTCTCTGGAACTGCACTAGACTAGCAGGTGTAGAACAAACTATTCGGTGCAAGCCATGATTTATCTAAGAATTGAGTTTGAAAAATGACAAATGGTAATCCATTTGTTTCCAGCTTCTCTGTTTTGACAGGAAAAAAAAAAGAGCTGTTAACAGTACCTTCTTGATTTGCCAAAGCTAAAACTTTCTTTGTTCCTCAGTCTGAGGTCAGCAGTTATCATCATTAAGTTTCAGAGTTGGTTCAGAAAAATTCCAAAGCACCATAGCAGTCAGGGCAAAACTTACTTTTTCCCTCCCTCTTCTATCCTATGAGAGGCTAAATTCAGTAGTTTCCAAAACATCTCTTTAAAATAGCCTGAAACAGTAGTGAAGGCTCTTCTGTGAAGTACAGGAAATCCTTTACAACTCTGTCTTAATAGCAGCAGGTTCAAAATAGGAAACTTGGGATTGACTTTGGACACCTTCAGTGATGGAAACTTGATGGCATAATTAAAGTGATGTAGATCACTGCTGTACTAAGTTTCTTCCCATCCTCTCAGACTATTGCCTTCTGCTCTACCCTGAAGATCCTTGCATCCAGTTTACAGCAGTGGTCACTGTCTCCAAGTTTATATTTCTGCAAGGGCACCTGATAAAGCAGTGCATGATGACAGCAGCTAAGAGCTTTCTGTCTGCTTTTGGCCAGGGCAAAATATGCAGTGGATTTCCTCTTTTTCTTTGAATTGCCAGTGGCAGTGAGTGCTCAAGACGAGGTTGTGTAGTTCTTTGGGGGTTTGTCTGCAGTGATTTCTTCAGCAACAGCACTGTCTTGTATTTCAGGTTTTTCTGAGTGCTTTCTGTCCTGCCAAACTGCTGTGAAAAGACTGAAGAGGTGTGGATGTTCAGCAAGTTTACCCCCAGCAAGTTTAGAGAAAGGGGCAATTCATTTCTGGAAAAAGCTTATTAAAGCACTACAGCAATCTATTAAACTCCTGTAGTAGAACAGTTTATCTCCTTTCCCAATTATCTCCTAAAGCTCAGTTCTATCATCCTCCAGTATTTCATTTGTAGGCTTGTTGGTTGGTAGAAGGAACTTACCTTGGGTAGAATATTCTTTCAAGTCAGCTTCTAAACCAGCATGGCTTTTTCTAATTCCTTGCTGTAATTTTCTTAGCCTATGACAGAATCTGAATGTGAAAATTTACAGACCACAGGGGTTAATATTGTTACACTCTTTAAAGGGGTTGAATAAGTTATGTGTGCACTACACATGGAAATATTACATGGATTTCTGAGATCCCCGTGAGAGATAAATACAATCACATCTCCCTCTGCTGGCAAAGCAGCAGAGCTCAGAGGAGCGTGGTCCCTGCCTGAATCTGGCTGCAGTCAGGCTGCCCAACCCTTGAGAAAAGCCTCTTGCATTCATTTTGGGTGCTAAATTTACCTCATTCAGCCACAATACATCATGTATGCCATTCCTGTGACATACAGTTCTGCAGCTGACAGAGAATGTGAAAGCCTGGCTGGAGACAATGACTTGCCTAATCTTTGTGTGTATATTAATTATATTAATAAAAATATAAACAGATGCTGCTTTAAACAAAACTCTATGCAAAGCCAACACCAGAAAAGTCCCTCACTTCTAGTCAAACACTAGAATTTGTCAAACATTTCCACAACCACCATCCTTAATTTGTTAAACCAGAATAACAGAGGAAAAAGCAAAGAGAGACATGAGGATTTAAAACATTTTCCAGTTATGTTTTGGAAGATAATTAGTTTAATTTTAACAGGAATTTTTAAAGGCAATTTCCATAATGCATCTCTGCAGACCCTGATCAATTGTTTTAACCAAACTGGTTTTAAACACGTTTTTATCTTCAATGAATTTCTCAAAGAGATAGACACCACCACCAACTCCAAAATAATGCACTTTGCTTGCCAAATACACGTGGCCATTTCTATCCAGGAGCTGAGCCAGTGTATCATGCAAAGCACTGTAGTAGTCAGGGTTATAGATGGTCTCAGAGGTGAGAATTATATCATACTTCAGGCAGGGTTTGTTGCTGTTTGACAGGAGCTGGCTGACTTGAGACCAGTCCCCAGAAAAAAATCTGCATCTGCTGAGCACATCAGCTGAGCCCTCTGCTTTCCTGGGCCTCTTGGAAGGAGGCTTGCTGGCTTTTCTGTCCTTCCCCCTGCCCATCCTCCTGCCCTCACTGCTACAGTTGGCCACCACGTTAGGCAAGGTTATTTCATCAATCACTGTGCTGTTGTAGTCCTGAAAATGGACTCTGGCAGCTTCACCCTGTAAAGCAACAATTCCCAACAATCCGGCCCCACAGCCAAGATCCAGTACAGTCTTGTTGGTAAATTCTATCTCAGCCTCAGACAAGTAGTCCATGAGATCAAAGGTGCATTCCCAGATTTTCAGCCCTCCTTCATAGACTCCTGGGATGAGATCAGAGTGAGAAGAAACACTTTTGGACACAATGCCTTCACTGTCAGCATCACCTGAACATGTCCTTTCCACTACAGACAGCTTTACATGAGACAGGCCCAATACTGTTTCCATGACTTTATTTTCCAATACTTTGTTGAGATCTTGGGGAATGCTGTGCTCCTTGGCAGCTTTCACACAGAGGTTTTTCTTCAAAGCTGCCTCATCCTGGTGCTTAGCAGCATCCAACTTCAGGCTGGACTTTGGTGCAAGATCAGCAGTTTCCCTGCTTTTTTCCCTGGATTCCTGCTTGTGTTCTGGAGAGCACAGCAGTAAGAAATGAGCATCTGCCTCACTGTTCTCATTTTCATCAACAGCAAAATCAAATCGAAAATCCATTTTCAAGAATAACAGTTTTTTTTAAAGCTTAATTTCTTAGAGCCAAGCTTTTATCTAGGTATTGTTGCAGGACGGAGTATTTCGCTGGTGCAATATCAGACGTCTTGCCGCCAAGAGCCAGGTGAACTGCTGCTGGAAATAAGAGTTAATAGTTTTATGTCTCATTAATATCAGCACTAGTTGTAGCACCCTGATTTTCATTACCAGGCTCCCCCGGGAAGCCGTGGAGTCTCCCTCTCTAAACATTCCAAATCCACCGGGGCGCGTCGGGGACGCTGCCTTGGCGAGGGGGCTGGACCGGCTCATCTCCAGAGCTCCCTTCCAACCCTAACTATTCTGGAATTTTAAAAACGGCTCTCTAACCACTTATGTTTATTAAAACACAGCCTCACAGCTGACCCCATCTCACATACCAGGCAAGGCAATTAGGACAGCTGCCAGCTCCGCTAAAACTCGCGTTTCAGACTCCGCGTTTCAAGGGGCGCAAACGCAAGGCGCGGAGCGGTGCCGGTGCTGCCGCGCAGGCCGGGCTGGGGGCTCCGGGAGCGTTTCCCACCCCGCTTTCCCCGCGCCGTGCCCGCACCCACCCGCGGCCGCCGCTCGCTCCGGGCCATGCCCCGCCGCTCCCACACGGAGCCGCTTCCGCTTCCTCGGGCGCGGGGCCTTGTGGGAGCGCGGGCGCCGCTCCCGCCGCTGCCCCGCGCTGAGGGGAGCGCGGCCGCCGCCATGTCCCAGGCGGACCCCGAGCTGCTCCTGCGGGAGCTGGACGGCTGGGACTGGGAGCTGTGCCGCCGGGAGCTGCCCGCCGTGCTGCCCCGGCTCCTGATATCCTTGCCAGCAGGGCTCCGGGTGGCTGTGGGAAAGGCACACGAGTGGTGGTGGGGGTGTGTGTGTGTGTGCATTCCTCGGAGTTCCAGGGTTCGAGCGAATGTGTGTGAGGGAGAGCGGTGGGACCTTTGTGAGGGGCCGGGTGCCGGGAGTTTCTCTGGAGACGGGTACAGCCTTTCCCTGGAATAAAAGATTTATAGTGTCCAGAACATCGTGTGTGGTTCGTTTAGCACTGTAGATAATCCCCGACACATGTCTCACCTACCCCCCCAAAAACAAAAGAAACCCAACCCCCTAAACAAACCCAAACCACACACCACCGAAAAAAACCCCAAAAAAACAACCCCTCAAGACTTACTCTCTAATACAGTTTGGAAAAACTTTGTTGATCCTGTGGATACTTCGGGCTATCAGCCTGCATTGGTTGTGGAGCATCCCCACCAATTTCATAGGACCGGGAGACAGTGATAGAAGTCACTGTGGCTTCTGCAGGTGCTTTGAAGATACCCTTTATAGAAGAATGATTTTGATTTTCTTTAACGTTTTTACTCAATGTATGCAGAGTCTGAGGACTGGACTGAGCACATTCGTAAGTAATGGCTAAGAAGTGCCTCTTCCTGTAGAGCCCTGTATTGCAATTGCATTAAAATGAAAATCATTGCAGTGCTTAAAATACTTTTGCTACAACTTTTCAGAGTCTTCAGCAATGGAGCTGGACCTGCTGGACCTTGCATATTCCACTAACTGCACATTGAATGAGCTTTATAAATGCCCCTATAAGAAACTCTGCATCTAAGGCTGCTTTTTTCCTTTCTGCTACTTCTGATCTTTAAATGCACAAAAGAAGAGTGTTTTTTATCTGGTGTTTTATTTTCTTTTGGGCTGTTATCTTCCAGGTGACAAAACTAATAGTTTAAAGAAAATGAGTCTTATTTGTAACTGTTTATGAGTGTTGCTAAAACTGTTACATTGCATATTTTGTTGCATTATAAAACTTGCTACTGTTTGCAGTTTGGAATGTGGCAAATTCTGGATTTGTAGGCTTGGCAGTTGTGCTCAGCCTTCAGCTCAGTTTAGTCAGGTGTGCTGCTATTTTTGATGGGTTTGTGCATGTTGGAGCTATTACAGTTACTTGATTTTTCAGATCATGTATGTGTGTTTTCATGCATTTCAGATAAGGCAAATGCTCTGTTGCCTCTCTCAAAATCAAGTACCTCAATTGTTTTTGCTTTCTGCAGTTCTTTATTTCCTCTGGTAGTTTGCTGTATATTTTTGAGAATTACACATTGCAAATGTTTTCAAGTACCTGATTTGCTTTTGCTTTCTGGAGTTCTTTATTTCCTCTGGTAGGTTGCTGTATATTTCTGAGAAATACACATTGCAAATGTTTTTCTTTGCAGGTATTTTGAGGATCCTGACTGAAATGTTTTTGCCACACATCAGCCTTGAAGATGTGGAACAAAGTTTTTTCTCAAAAGTATTACCTAAGGTAGGACAGCTTCAGTTAACTGTGGAATTGTCTGTCAGTCTAGTGTTAGAACCTGCTTAGATTGCAGTGATTCTTCTTTGGGGTTGCAAAATACCTATGGGATACAAAAATTGAAATTTACCTGTTAAGAGTTTTCACAGTGTTGTGTTGAATTGTGTCTGTGATTGCTCTAATTCTTTACAGTAGGGAGAAAATCAAATATACAATGTTCTGCTTTCTATATTCAGCAATAGACTTGGATTTTATTTCTTTCTGAGAAGATTGGGCTTTTTGTAAAATGACCAAGGTGGAGAATTTTTAATTGAGGGAACTTCTCAGGACAATTAAACTGAAGAGCTCAACACTCCCATATCACAAATGAATGTTGTGAAATTTGTGAATTAATATAGTGAATAATCTTTTAGACCATACTGACCTCACACATGTTTTCTTTTTTTAATAAATGATGGAGAATTTTGTGCCATAGGTGTATTAAAATCAGTGCTTGCATTTTAAGTAAAGAGGTGCCAAATTACTGATTTAAGTTTCAAGACTCAGCTTGTCCATTTTAAGAAGCCAGTAAAAAGCACTTGATTTTCCTTTCTCATATTTTATCTCAAGTAACAAGTTTTTGGAGATTACAAGAAAATTGTCTCATAATAGGCATATCCTGAGAAAGGATCACTGTTTATCCTGCATGTGCCTCACTGTCTTTGCAGTCTCAAAAATAACACTCATCCAAAAACCTCAGCTAAAGTAGAAATAAATGTTGTCTGTATGTCACAGGCTTTTTTAAAAAAGCATTCAAAATGTTAATAATAATTTTCAACCAACAAATATTTTTTATGAGACAAAATGAAAGTATTTTTTAAATTATGTGGCTTTAACTAAGTAAAAAATGTTTAGTAGAATAATATATTTAATATATAATATTAAATAATATTTAATATTATTCATTATACATTATATATATGAAATATATTATGAATGAATAATAATATATGTAATATAGGATTGAATAATATATTTCAAGCAAATTAGCTGTGAATTTGCAGCTAATTAGCTAATTAGCTGTTATTGTTTCTAAGATCTGTTTTAGCAGCAGATCTTAGAAAAAATAACAGCTAAAATGTCTTCTGTCTATAATATATACATAAAAATGGTTTTTGCTTCTTGTTATATCTTGCTTTATGACTGAAATGCTACAAAGTGTTTTCTGCTGTGACTTCTCTCTGTGCCTCCATGCCAAGGCAGCAAGCAGGTACAGAATGGTGCTATTATTTGTCATTAATTGGTTAATTTTATTATTTATGATTATATATACCTTTGTAAGTAAAATGTTTTGGTTTTGTTGTGTTCTGCCAGACTCTGCAGTTCTTTGATAACTTGATGTGTGAATTATCCAGCAAGGCCAAAGGACTGACCAGCCAGAGTACAGAGTTGTGCAGTACTGTAAGGAATCTGCTACAGGCAAGTCCCATCCCATAAGCTGTCAAAATAATGCATGCATCACTCTTTGCTTTTACCTAAACTGCTAAATTACTAATTACTAAAAAGGTTTTAGAATGTTTTTGGTGGGTAAAATGTGATTTAATCTTCCTCTGTAGGTGAAGCTTAGTTAACATTTTGTGAATGATTTGATTACATCTAGCATGTGATGCTAATAATAATTTTAAAAAATCATCTCAAATTCTGCTCCAAGTCCCTCCTGCAGATGGAATGTGACTCCCCATATTTAAAGAGTGAACCTGGCCCCTGTTTATACATCTGTCACTTCATTCTGAATTTTAACATTTTTGTAAATTGAGAGCAATAGTGAAAGAAATAAGGAGTTTTTATGGAGGGTATGGTATTGCAGAAAAGCTCTGGAGCTTCATTCATCTTTAACCAACTACTTCTTTATGCAAATAGCAGTGAACTTTAAATGCTGTGAAAATGCAGGTGTATTTCAGCTAAGAAAAGATGCTTTTGGAGGCATTGCAGGAGTGACTGATGTTGTTCAGTGTTGGTCTCAGACGGTGGTGCAGCTGCTGGAGACGCTGACGGGCTGCGTGCGCTCCCTGTGCTCCGTGCAGGAGCTGTCCCTGCACAGCATCCGCTCCCTGCCCTCCTCCGTGCTCTGCCTGCTCAAGAGCACCTTCACACACTGCAAGGTAGGGCTCTGCTGGGAGCACAGGACTCCTGCTGCTCCTGGGCTTTTGGAAATGCAAGAATCCCTCTCTGGGTGGGCTGTTAGCTATGGAGCACCTTCACACACTGCAAGGTAGGGCTCTGCTGGGAGCACAGGACTCCTGCTGCTCCTGGGCTTTTGGGAAATGCTATGGAGCACCTTCACACACTGCAAGGTAGGGCTCTGCTGGGAGCACAGGGCTCCTGCTGCTCCTGTGCTTTTGGGAAATGCTATGGAGCACCTTCACACACTGCAAGGTAGGGCTCTGCTGGGAGCACAGGACTCCTGCTGCTCCTGGGCTTTTGGGAAATGCTATGGAGCACCTTCACACACTGCAAGGTAGGGCTCTGCTGGGAGCACAGGGCTCCTGCTGCTCCTGGGCTTTTGGAAATGCAAGAATCCCTCTCTGGGTGGGCTGTTAGCTATGGAGCACCTTCACACACTGCAAGGTAGGGCTCTGCTGGGAGCACAGGGCTCCTACTGCTCCTGGGCTTTTGGGAAATGCTATGGAGCACCTTCACACACTGCAAGGTAGGGCTCTGCTGGGAGCACAGGGCTCCTGCTGCTCCTGGGCTTTTGGGAAATGCTATGGAGCACCTTCACACACTGCAAGGTAGGGCTCTGCTGGGAGCACAGGGCTCCTGCTGCTCCTGGGCTTTTGGGAAATGCTATGGAGCACCTTCACACTCTGCAAGGTAGGGCTTTGCTGGGAGCACAGGGCTCCTGCTGCTCCTTGGCTTTTGGAAATGCTATGGAGCACCTTCACACACTGCAAGGTAGGGCTCTGCTGGGAGCACAGGGCTCCTGCTGCTCCTGGGCTTTTGGGAAATGCTATGGAGCACCTTCACACACTGCAAGGTAGGGCTCTGCTGGGAGCACAGGGCTCCTGCTGCTCCTGGGCTTTTGGGAAATGCTATGGAGCACCTTCACACTCTGCAAGGTAGGGCTTTGCTGGGAGCACAGGGCTCCTGCTGCTCCTTGGCTTTTGGAAATGCTATGGAGCACCTTCACACACTGCAAGGTAGGGCTCTGCTGGGAGCA